TAAGGAAAGGATATCTTTCATTTTCTGATATCCTCTTCAATTATTGTTTGAGTACTGTAATTTTCTTTTATAGATATTTTACTTGCTTTTTTAGATTGATTCCTAAGTGCTTCATTTTTCTGGACGCTATTGTGAAGGGTGTGGTTTCCTTAACTTCTGTCTCAGTGGATTTGTTATCTGTGTACAAGAATGCTATGGATTTTTGAGCATTTAGTTTGTATTCAGTTACACTACTAAATTTGGTTATTAAAACTGAAAGTCTTTTGATGAAGTTTTTTGGGTTTTCTATGCAAAGAATCATGTTGCAAATAATGATAATTTAACTTCTTCCTTTCCCATTCTTATTCCTTTCTCTTTCCTAGTTGATCTGGCTAGGGTTTCCAGAACTACACTGAATAGGAGTGGTGATAGTGGACACCTATGTATTATTCCTGACTTTAAAGTCAAATCATTCAGTTTTTCTCCATGTAGTATGAAGTTGGTTGTTGGGTTGTTATAAATGGCTTTTATCAAATTAAGGCAAAGACCAATTGGAAAATCTAATAGAAAACAAATTTGGTTCATTGCAAATAGATTTTTTATAGCAATTATATAGCAATTTTCTGTCGGGCTGTTTTTTTAAAATCATGAATGAGTATTGAACTTTGTCAAAGCTTTTTCTGCATCTGTTGAGATGATCATGTGATTTTTGACTTTGGCTCTATTGACATGGTTGTGTTACATTTATTGATTTGCATACGTTAAACCATCTCTGCATTCCTGAGATGAACCCTACATTCTACATGGTGTATAATCTTCTTGATGATTTTCTGGTTTCCATTTGTCAGTGTCTTACTGAGGAGTTTTGCATCTATGTTCATTAGGGAGACTGGCTTGTGGTTCTCTTGCTTCCAGGAATGAGTTAGGGAATATTGTTTCCCTCTCAATGTCATTAAAGAGTTTGAGGAGTATTGATATTAAATCCTCTCTAAATTTCTTGTGGAATTCAGCAGTGAATCAAGGACCTGGACATTTTGGTTGACAAGTGTTTAATTACATTTTCAATCTTTTTTGTTAATATTAGGTTATTCCAAATTTTTGTACCTTCTTGATTCAGCTTTGTATCTTGGAATCGGTCCATTTTTTTCTGTGTTTTTCATTTTGTGAGAGTGAAGAGTTTTGAGGTAAGTGTTTATGATTTTCTGAATTTCCACCAGATCTGTAGTGATTTAACCCTTTCCACTCCTCATCGCATGAACTGAGACTTTTCTCTCTTTTTTTTATAATGTTGGTTATGATCTATCAATTTTATTTGCTTCTTAAATTTACCAAATCTGCTCAATAAGTCTTTATGTTTTTTAAAGTCTCCATTGTATTAATTTCCGCTGTGATCATTATAATTTTCTCCCTTGTGTGGTCTTTGGGCTTGACTTGCTCCTCTTTTTGTAGAAATTTGAAGTGCAGCATTAAGTTTTTTATTTGTACTTGTTCAGTTTTCCTCATGTGAGAATTCAGCACTATAAATTTCCCTCTTAGGATTACTTTCATTTTGTCCCATAAATTCTGGTATGTTGTATCTGCAATCTTGTTTAGTTGTATACATTGCTTAATTTCGTGGTTGTTTATGAAGGTGTTATTTAATCTCTATGTGTTTATGGAGTTTTTGCAGTTTCTTTTGCCATTAATTTACAGCTTCATTTCAATAAGGTCTCATAATATGCATAGGATAATTTCAATTCCTTTGCATTTACTTAAGCACATTCTGTGGGGTAGTGTATGGTCTATTTAGAGAACATAATGATTTTGGATTGAATACTCTGAAAACACCTACTAAGTCCACTTGTTTACAGGTTTGATTAATTTCTGATATTTCTTTGCTGATTTTTTGTCTAGTTGATATATCTTTTTTGTGAGAATGGAGTATTAAGATTTCCTATAATAAGTAACAATTGTTGTTACTGATTTCATTTTCCATGTTTATCAACAATTGCTCTCATATTTGGTGCATAGATATTTATGATGTTATTTCTTCCTCTTGAAGTTTTCCACTAACAAGCATGTAAGGTCTTCTTTATCTCTTTTAATCACTCTTGATTTGGATCTCACATTGTCTGCAAATAGAATAGCTACTCCTGTTTTATCTGAGTTCCTTTTGCCTGGATGATTGTTTTTCATCCTTTAGCTTTCACTATTTCTCTTTGAGTTAAATGTGTTTCTTGTATACAGAATATTGTTGGATCTTGTTTCTTGATCCATCTTGCCAGTCTGTATTTTCTGATTGGTTTTGATTGGTGAGTTGAGGCCTTTTACAGTGATGGTTAAACTAATATGTATTGGTTGTGTTTGTCATATTTTCCTGCTCTTGATTCCCTGCTTTCTCTCTCTGCTTGACTGCTTGCCCTGCCTGGTAGTTTCTTTCTGATATTGTTTTTGGAGTTATGGTTATTTTTATCTCTGTCTGGTTGATTTTGTGTTCATGAATTTCTTTAGCTGTTCTTTGTCATGGGAGTACCATATGTCTTAATTTTAAAAGGTAGTTTTGCAGGGTACATCATTCTGGGATGGGAGTTGTCTTCTTTTAGCACTTGAAATCCTTCATCCCAAGATCTTTTTGACTTGCTATTTTGTCTTGAGATGTCTGCCATGTTTCTGATGGGCTTTCCTCATGTTTGCTCTGTGTCTTTCCTTTAACAGCTTATTCTGTTCTTGTACAGAATTTCTGTAATCTTAATTAGTATGTATTTTGGTGCAGCTTTACTGAATCTGACCAGCTTCATTTAGCTTATGTTTTCACAAACTTAGTTGCTATGATGATACATTTCCTTCCAATAAGTTTCATTTTACTAGTATATATTGATTTGCTAATATCCTCAGAGAGCATAAATTTAAATAATTCATATATTTGCTGATAAAACTGAGCAAGTTTTAAAACAGACCAAGTTTTCTGTATATTTATTAAGAGCCTGGGGGCTGGAGATTTAGCTCAGCAGCAAAAGCGCCTGCCTTGCAAGCAGGCAGTTGTGAGTCAATCCTCGGTACCGATAAAAAGGAAAAAGACAAAAAAAAAAAAAGAGGCTGGAGAGTTTTTACGTACAAGTTAACCTGTGCCTTTACAAGGAGAAAGGAGTATAGTGGGAAAAAATGAAGAAAAACCATGAAATTGACACAGGATCTCCAAATGACAAAGGGGAAATAAATGGAACTCTCAATCTTCTTTATGTCCAGCATACCGAGTTTATGTTCCCAGAAATCAAAGAATCAATTTTAAGGAAGAACAGAAGTTAAGACTAGGAAATTTTATTGTGAGAGAGACAGCTCCTGAGAGAGAGACAGGAGGAGGCCCCAAGTAGGCTGCCAAAGAACGCATTTCCCAAAGAAAATTTTGTAGAGCAAAATTACGAGGAGGGCATAATGTCATGAGGTGGGTACAATGTGAGACAAAACTGTGATTAACCCACAATGTTACACGCATAGCCACTTAGGTAATGTTAATCCAGTAGAGAATTAAGTCACTCAGCAAGCATACATGGAAAGAACAAGAGCATTTTTGGAAGAGATTATTCAGGAGGTCCTGGTCCCCCACTTGGGTGACTGACATCTATCTAGACCTTGTTGTACAAGATGATACCAATTATAGAGTCGGCTGGTGGAAGACACCTAAAGGGATGAGACTGAATTCTACCCTGAAGGTCGCAGTGAAGGTCAAGTGTTCTCATGCCTGAGTAGGAAAAGACAAAGGAGTGGCATGCCCTGAGCAGATGCTCTCCAGAGGTGCTGAAGGAGGTCACTTGCTTTGCCACTGAGTTCATCTATTGCTGACAGCTGTGTTGAGTATTCATTTTATTCTCTTTCCAAATGAATTAAAGGTCTGCAAGTTTAAATAACTTGACTCAATTTTACACATACTCAGGGAGTCTGTAAATGATACAAGAGTGAAGTAATCTAATATCACAACTTGTTGATTCAAAAATAGTACACTTTGTGAATGTTAGGTAAGATCATTTATTTGTCATAGATGCTGTTCTACAAGTATTATAGTTTGTCATTTGTGGATAATTGACCATAGGATGGTCAGTAAGGCAGACATTTTATTCTCCTGCTAAGGGAGAGGAGAGAAGAGGAGGGGAAGAGAGGGGAAGGAAGGAAGGAAGGAAGGAAGGAAGGAAGGAAGGAAGGAAGGAAGGGAGGAAGAAAAGGAGAGAGGAAGGGAGGAAGGAAGAAAGGGAGGAGCATGCCAAATTCTAGAGTAACACTTTAAATATTTTTAGAACTGGTGTCTGTGAGTGAGTTTACAGCTGTGACACTAAATCAGTAACCAGAAACTAGACAAAATGGGTTCTATTCTTTGCTTCTCGTACTCTAATGGCCTAGAGCAAGGCTCTCAACTTTGTGTACTTTCTTTTTCAGCTTGAAACTCTTACAAGAAAGCTTACTGACATCCCCCAAGTGGGGACAATGTGGACATTTGAGAATGACCTAAAATAGCTGAAGGCGTGGGAGGCTTGGGAAAGGCTCACCCAGGCCACATGTTTGCCCAGCTTGTGACCAGCGGCCACACACCTGGGCTGGGTCGGGTTACAGCTTGCTCCCTCCCGCCCTCGGGTCAGGCCCTGGTCGATGATAGACTTAGGGCACTCCTTAATTAAGCATACCAATCACCTAAAGCAACAGCAGAGTATTAGGGAATATTGGGTGTCACTCAGCCTCTCCTCAGGCTTCCTTCCCTTTAATTAGCTTTAAAGAAAAGCAGTAACTGTTGTTTCTTCCTTAAATCAAAAATAACAAAAGCCAAGTTCCTTAAAGGAATAGATATCCATAAAGATTAAGGAGGGACTACCCGGACTTTTAACTCACCTGCATTTCCTGTTAAATATAAGGGGGGGCAGCCTGGATTATAGATCTGCTCCCACTCACTGGCCCTACTGATGGCTCATTTAGAAACCACAGTGATCACACATCTGCCTCGTGAAAAAAATGTTTGTAAATTCTTATTTGGTTCTTTATGTCTCCGAATCATCTGGTTTTGGGTATTGCTGTAACTGCCCCAACTTTAACTAAGGAGTCCGTGAATATTTTAAAGTTTGCTCTCCATTCAAGGAGGGATTTTCTTCAGACAGTTCCCTGTATCACCCCAGGCTCTGAGGAATTCAGCACATCAAAGGGAAGAGAGGGATGTTTCCATTATACAGCAGGGCTGCAGGTGCGTGGGCAGGCTTCCTCCAGGTAGAGGGAGAAGCCCACTGAATGCTGCTCATCTGGCTCATGTGCAATAAGCCATGAAGATGTGAATGTAGCAGAGTTTGCTGTCCTCAACAGTGTCAAATAGAATTTAGACAGTGAACTCATGGAACATAATTTAAAAAGAGCTTAAGAGCTTATACTTACTTACATATATAATATATATTATGTGTGATGTAATATATAATATATATTATATAACATAATTTCCTTCTACACTCTTTATAATATTTTGTACTCTATATTATATATGCTATATTTATGTATACATGTACATATAATTTCTTTTATTCACCCTCTCTTGTTACATTTCATAGAGATTTTATCAAAGTACATATTCAAAAAAGAAGAGGGTGTCAAGAGATAGATGGGGGAGACAGGACGAGAAAGGGGTCGAAAAAAATGTCCGTGTAACAACTCCCCACAATGAATGCAAATATTACGTATTACAAATACGTGCTAAAATAAGATGGAAAAGTGTTAGTGAGTGGTGTTTAAAATATTAGCCCAAGAGTATTGTCAAACGCATCATCTCATTAGAATTTTTTACAAGCCCTTAATATATGTATTATTATTAACACATCGAGAGGAATAGAGACTCAGAGGAGTTATTATTTGCACAAAGCTCACAATGAAACCCACTCCACTCTAAACTTAAAAAAAACGGGGCTGGGGATTTAGCTCAGCGGCATAAGCACCTGCCTTGCAAGCAGACAGTCATGAGTTCAATCCCTAGTACCGATAAAAAATAAACAAATAAATAAATAGATAAACTTAAAAAAATAAAACCAGCCCATTTCCTTGTCAGTACAGACTCCTCGGAAATGAAGTCTGAGTGCAGTAACTCGGTTTTTGCAGGTTTTTGCCCTTTTCTGCTGCCTTCTCAGCATCAAGCCGCATTCTGTTTTCCAGCTCACTCTCAGCTCTTTTTGGTGACCACAAGCTCTATTTTCACACCTCATCATTTTTGAAGTTCTGTTTTCAAGTCTCTGTTCTCTCCTCCCTCGTCTCAAGATGGCAGTCACAGAACAATCAAATTGTACTCAAGTTCCTGTGTGACAAAAGCCTGCTTATGCAAGTCAGGTTTTATAGCTTTCGAATCTGTCGTAATTCCAAACAAAGGTATTAACCCAATGCATTTACTAGGAATGACAATTAAAACAAAGTAAAAAGAAGAAGAACCTAGTGGTTGAGCAACTCAAAAAACAAACAAAAAAACAAAGACTTGAGGCAGGCATTCCCCAACCAACTTACTCACATAGGATTGTCCTGCTTGAATGTGATGACAATATTTTAGATTGTTTGGTATTTTGATCAAGTTTGTCAGTAAGTATAAGTAATTATCAATATATGTGTCTCAAAAAAGTAATATAATGCAATAATGAGCAGAATGAATGCAGATCTTTGTTTTCCTAATAAGAGAACATATAATTATTCTTAATATGTAACTTTTAGGTATTCAAAAAACTTGGGTTTGAATCCCAATTCAATCATTTACACCAGGCCCCTGGGTATAATTTTTAACTTCTTTGTAACTCTGATTCATCATCAAAAGATAAATGCAAATGAGATGACTCCTTCTAGATGGTGATTGTGTGGGTGACATCTACAAGGACTGACAACTCACACAATCTTATTTCAAATCGATGTGGTATCACTTGTCTAACTTGAATTACCCAAACTAAGCCACACCACTAACCAACCTCAGTTAAGGGTAGGGAAAGCTACTCCAGATTTTATAAAAGTTTGCTATAAAATTATACTACAGAGTTTGCAGCTATGGATGAAAAGAAGAATTATAATCAGTAAGACTCCCTAGCATGTGCAAGTATGTCTGTGTATATGTGTATAAAATTAAAGATATAATTCTTATCTATCAGTTATCAATATATTAAACTACAATGGGCAATGTTAATGAATAAAGTGAGCTTTTTACCTCCTTTGGCATAGTTACTTATTTCTATGAAATGACCATTATAAGTATAAATGGATACACTCAAAATTTTAGGTCCATGGACAGCCATGACAGGACTTCTTATATTAGTGAAAAAGTGGAAGCAATTTATCCTTACCCTTAGTTCTCTATTTTTTTACTTTATTTAATTTGACTGAACATAGGTAACATTTTTCATTATAACTTTGGCCAAATAGTAGAAATGCATTTTTCCTATGGAATCTTACAAAACTGTTTAAATTCATTAACTTTAAATCATTCATGGATCATCTACTGAGTTTTAGGAATAAGAAATCAGTCATTTTGACTTTGAATAGCATGATAAGCACCAGACATCTGGAGAGACAGACAGACAAGCCATGATAAATTTTTAAAAGTACAATGATATAGTATTTATTTGTTGTTTTTTCCCTCTAGTACAGAAAGGATAGATGTACAGTTATAGGTTTATGCATGCCTAAAATTACACCATAATGTGTAAATAATTGGTATTATTATGTGTGATAATATGAACAACTACACTGAAGAAAACAAGACATCATGGTAGCCATTGATGACCTCCTGTCATTTTGTTTTGAATCTCAATAATGTTTCTATTCTTGGTTTTGATTGGTTTTAGTCTGTTTTCAATTCTTTGATTTCAATATATATGAAGGTATGGACAGCTGTTTTGAAGAAAACAAGAGACATGGTGGCAGCCACTGTTGATTTCCTGCTGTCTTTTTCTGAAATCCTGTGTTATTTGCTTTGTTTCACTCTGCTTTGCTTTATTTTGTTTGTTTTGTTTTATTCTCTTTAAAATAAAAATAAATTAATAAATTAAAGTCATATAAAAGTTCAATGATAATGAGATACTTCAGATATTAAGGGGTTTGGGAAACAGACAACTAACTCATCTAGAAAAACCATGACAGATCTCTAATAGTGAAATATAATTAGAAATGGTAAGTTATTAGAAGGAGGTATTCAGTGCTTGTAACTTTGAAAATGCCAAGATAAAGATCTTTCACTCATGGCTTCTGATTGACATCTTTGGCTCTTTTCTGTGGTCCATGGCCTCGAGAAAATTGAGCAGTTCCTAGAATAAGTGATCCTGAAAGGAGACAGAGAGAAAGAGAAAGAGATCCTTACTACCTGGTAAGTTGTAAATTTATTTCCTATTGTGACTTAGAGTCCTGGTGTTCCAATGCTAACTGTATTTTATAGTCTCTTAAGAAAATTTAGTGTCAGGGACAGGAGAGAAGAGTTCATTCACTTGTGAGGGTTGACTTAAAAAGAAATACATTGCAACTTAATGGAATTCTCTTACTTTACAGCATCAATGTAGGAACTCATGCAGACAGCAATTTCCACAAGTTCACTGTTCTGAGTTATATCTAGAACATTCCCTAAGAGTCCCATTTGAACAGAGTTGGTGCTTTCAGAAGATGATTGGGTCATGAGTCTGGTGTACTCATTAGCAGATTGAATCACTGATGAGTTCAAAGCTATTGTGCTGTGAGGAGGTGGGGCATGGTTGGAAGAGGAAAGTCACTAGGGCATGTGTTTAGAAGGTGTTTATATCTTTACTTCCTCTTTCCTGGGTGCCACAAGTTGAAAAGCATTCCTCTGTTATGCCTATCCATGAACAGAATGTCCATAAACCGAGAGCCTAACTAAACCTTTCCTGCATTAAATTGTCGATGTTGTGTATTTACTCCCAGCAATGGGAAACCTCACTGATACGGCCATTATCATAGACAGAAATCTATCAGGTAGATGCAATGTCAAAAGCATTTGGAGTCTGTTTAGTTTATACTACATTCTTTCTGTGGGTTTTCTACTTACTAATGTTCTTAGCAAATTTTGCAGCAAACAGTAGATTTAACTCTTTCAGAGCCTTGAAATTATTCAGGATCGTACATACCTTTGTTATGATCAGCTAACAGCAGACAAACTGGGTAAAGGGATTAGTAAGCCACATTTAAAGACTGATTCCACCCCTGCCTACTGGGTTAGAAACACTGCATTTTGGAAACTGAGAGGGTTGGCTCTTAAGCTCTGTCAAACAGGGTTTCAAGTAGCTCTGAAATTACCCTTCTATCTTAAAAATAGAAGTAAATAGAGGCACACTGGACACAAACCACCCACCATTTCTTTTGATTAATTTTGGGTAAAAAGGCTCTGAGCAGTGGGTTTGGGGTACTTGATTTAAGCAGCATCAGCAAAAAGGAATCTCTGCTTTATCTGGAATTAACTACAAATTCAATTAGAATAAAAATTTTCGTTCACTGCATGAAAGGGTTTTTACACATAGAAAAGCAGATGTTCTGGCAATATTGAGAGCACTTTGCCTAGCAGCCTACGAAATTTTCCATCTTGTGAGCCCAATCAGTGGTGAAGGATACACAGAGGCAGCTTCCTCAACTTGCAAAACAGCTTCCATTTCCTGTGATCCTTTAATTAGATTTACTTCTTTAAGCAAAGTAGTATCGGGCTGGAAGAATGAATGGAGGGAGACTCTACTTAATATAGGGTTAGCAAGTGTATAAAGAGAAAAGGAAAAGGTCTATTTCAGGGTTTCTTTCACATATACCGCTTTTGTTATTTATGGTGGGTTTGTTCCACTGGACAAAAAATAATAATAAAATTAATCACTTGGGTTGTGTTGAGATCAGACCTTAGTTCTATTTTTAGCTTTGAGCAGATTACAGGACAATAGAACATAAATGGTAATTAGAAGAAATTTAGAGCCAACATTACGCAGTACTCTTTGAGGTGGGAAAAATAAATGTGCAGGGTGGTTCATGAGATAGGTTATAAATAAAGTGACTCCAGGTCACATATAGGGGTTCAGGCACTAGAACGGAAAGGGGACACATTGACTGCAGCAATCTATGATGGTTTCTAGAAATGTTTGACCATTGTATTTTTTAAGCCCACTGTAACTTGTATTTATTTAATTAGGATGGAGAGAGAATTTCAAAGGCAAAGGTGAGATTTCATTCTTTGCTTTGCGAGAGAGAAGCAGCGAGTTATAACAGCCTGGATATAAGTGACCTTTCACTCTTTGTAGTTGGTTGTTTCTAAATAAGACAAAACAAACCCACATGATGCTCAGCTTCCACTTCTTTCCATACTGAGGTGTTGAAATGTATTATAACTTTACTCATTGGAATGACACAAATACACTTACGGGTATTTTTAGTTGGAATTCCTGTAACTAAAATTTGAAGTAACAGAACTCCCTAAATTCAGCAAGAATGAGATTTTTAAAACTATTAAACTGGTTGATGAAGTCTACTGCTTAAAATGTTTAATGTTTCTCATCTTAAAAAATATGTTAGGGCTTTATTTTTTTTTTTTTTCAAAAACTCTGTTTCATAGTCCCATGGTCCACTCATTTGTTTTTAGATGTTTTAATGTCTCCTTGGTGTCACATACCTTTATGGACAATAAGCGTGAAGAAATAAGCAACAGTGACGTCTAGGGCATCCTCCAGTGGGAAATACAAGCATGGGCAGCTGGCAAATATGGGTGTGGCCAGGAAAGCGCACTGTGCACAGAGTGAGAGGAGTGAGAACAGAAGCAGCTGTGACCTGTGAGAACAGCGTCACCAAAGTTCTCTGGCAAAGTTAACAAAGGGGTGGACTGAAGCCAGCAAAACTGTGAGGATGTCCACAACTTTGGAATCACCTTAGAGCTCCCAGATTTCAGAGACACAGAATGTATCCAGAATAGTGTTCAGCCACTAACATAAAAACAAACATACAAACAAAACATTCTTGAAAATATTCTAAAACAAACCAGAGGCTTTTGCTTCAACCCTGGTTTACGGAGAGCAGAAGATATGTGATCCTACTGAAAAAATCAGCATCCCTCTGATTTCTGAGTGCATAAAAGACTATAGGAGACAAAAGAGGAGGGAGGGGACTAACCAAGAGCCAGGTCACACAGAATGAGGAGAAATAAGTGGTTCTCTGTTCAGAAGGCTTTATGGGAGATGATAACAGAGGTCAGAGGTGAGCTACAGGCTGAAGTTGGACTGCAAAGGTTATTATCACTGTTCTGCAAAACCTTTCTCAACTCTAGAATGAATAAGTGAACAGAAGAAGCGAAAGAACATGTTGCTTTTTTTTTTAATCACATTTGAGGTTGGGAAAAAAGTTCCTTATACTCTGAAATGAGGTTGTCTGGCCCCTACAACCATCTGAGTTTGTTGCTTTCTCCAAACACACTGATGGCTCCACAGTTAAGCGCTCCACTCTCTGGATTTTATGATACCTTCATATGTGGCTGTCCTGTCAACCACATTTGCATAATTACTGTTTGCAAGTGTTATCACTCTGGACTATTTAAAATTTATTTCACATTCATGAGGTCTAGAAATTATTCTTGCAAATAGTTTTAGTATTTTAGGCTGTTGTTAATGAGTGGTAAAATGAACCAATGCACAATTAAAGATAAATAAATAAAAATAGATTTTTAGTATTGATGTTTGATGCCAAATTTCTGACAACAGAAAAATTCCACATAAAATGGAAATCATTCCAGGCTGGAGAGTTGCACATTTGAGTCTCAACTGGGCAATACTGCAAGAACTTGCCTCAGAATGAAAGGAAGCAAGAAAGAGAAGAAAGAAAGAAAGAAAGAAAGAAAGAAAGAAAGAAAGAAAGAAAGAGGAAAGAAGGAGGGAAGGAAGGAAGGAAGGAAGGAAGGAAGGAAGGAAGGAAGGAGGGAAGGAAGGAAGGAAGGAAGGAAGGAAGGAAGGAAGGAAGGAAGGAAAATAGACAGATAGATAGATAGATAGATAGATGGATCTGGGGATATAGCTGAGTAGTAAACCACCCCTGGATTTGATCTCTAGTACCACAAAATGGGAGGTGAGAGTATCCATTCCACTGATAATTAAATATTTCCTAATTATCCTAAATTCATAGATGTGTATATACTCAGTAGATTACTTACTAACATTTCATCAATTGTAAAATGGTGACAATAAATGATATCTTATACATTTATAGAAATGATTACTAAAGTATGCATATATTAATGTAAAATATATACAGTGGCACCTTGGTTCACAAACATAAGTTTTCTATGATTCTGATCACAAACCTAACAGCACAAGAACTGAATCAAACCCAGTGGTTAGATTCAATGTTAACTTTATGGGGAAATTTGATTTGTTTCTCATCCAAGTTGGTTTGCAACCAGAATCACGGAAAGAATCAGGTTCATGAACTGAAGTACCATTGTGTTTATATGTTAGAAGGGTTATAAATAGTCTTTCCTGTATCAGATGCAAAATCTTTTATCCTCCCGATCTTAGGGACACAGTATTAGGAGAAAACCACACAAGAGGGAAGTGGAGCAAGGCCTGTGTATAGATTCTCCCTCCATTAAACAGGAAATTGATGCCAAAAAAGAACTGCACAGAAACAAAACTGGACAGTGATGCAGTGCAGCAAAGAAAGGAAATGCTATGGTTTGTGCCTAGATGCCCCGCAAAACCTCATGTGATCAGAGGTAGGGCCTTTTCAGAGGTGAATGCATCTAGAGCGTGTGATGCAGGGATTAAGGCATGATGCTTGTAATAAAGATGTGATGCGGGTGTTGATTCATGGTGTGATGCTACAATTAAGGGTGCCCCACCCTGGATGTGAGTGCTACTTGCCCCAAGGTGGGCTAGCTTGAGTAGTCTTTAAGAGACACAAAAGAGGGCTGCTGGGCTGCTTACTGCCTCCTTCCTACTGGCTGCCTTCTGCCCACCATGAACCATTTCTCCTCCGCATGCTACCCTACCTTGGAGCCAGCCAACTGTGAACAGAAACCTCCTCAAATTGTGACCTGAAATAATCATTTCCTCCCTTAACTTTGGGCATTTTTTTTTTGTCTTAGCAATGAAAAAGGTAACCTAGAAAGAAAGATAAAGCTTGAGATGTGTTAGCATTTTGAAAGAAAGGAGAGAGAAAAGCTATTTGAAATTTCAGAGTATTTTGATAAGAGTTATTGGGGACCTTGAGACTTGAGTTTGGGAATTCTTGAATGCCTGAGAAAGAACTGATGAAGATGTAAATTTCTCCTTAATTTTTCTTTAAATATCAAATGCTGTTATCATTCAAGTTCACATAAAAGCAGGCAATCTATATATAAAAGAGATTCACAGTTTAGTTTAGAGACTTGCATATAATGTTTACCAAAGTTTTATTCCTCTGGTACTTAAGGAGTTAAGAAGAACATTCAAGATCATTTTCATTTTGCTCTGAGTAAACCAGAGAAATAAATAGATACTTCCATGTTCATTTTACTGGCAAGGAAGCAGATTTAAAGTCTCTGAATGTTTGTCCAATGTTGCATAAGATTCAAGCGACACTGTCAAAATTCTCTGATTCTATGTCGAGTAATAAATCCATTAGGTACAAACCTTGCAGAACTTTATTTTAATTAAAATTTGTTTTGACATAATTGTCAATTTCTATCACATTGTAAGAGATAAGGTAGACTAATCCTTCACTTGTTTCTCTCAGTGCTAACAACTTGTAAAACTATTGCAAAATAAATCAGATACTGAAACTGACGCAGTCAAGATAGGGTCATTGCATTGAAGTAATACCATCAATGCAGAGATGGACTCTGTATCTAAGGATGCTTCTGGTGACCATAAAAGCCAACTATTTTTTCATTTGTTGTTGCCTTTGCCTATTCCTCAAAAGCGTAATTGTTCTTCATAATGTAGAATAGCAAAACAGTTCATCACGGATTGAATACACAATTTGTCAAAAGTGTGCAAAACAATTGGATAACATTGAAAAGGTTAGTTAATCAATGGATTAGTGAATAGTGGTGATATGCATGAATTATTTCAAAAGATTTTTCACATTAAATTTTCCAAATATTTTGGTCATTAACCAAGGTAATTAATATCATAATTCACTGGCTAGAATTTAATTGATGAGCTGATTCACAGAAATGGGAATTAAAACTTTGAGCTGCTTTATTAGTAAATCATGGGCATTATATTTAAACAAAACGTACTTTTAGTATCACTGAATCAGATTCCCAGTGCACTTATTTCATATCATAAAAAATTATGACAGAGAGATGCCATATTTTTCATTTCCTACTTTTCCTTAGAATTTTTATACTCATAAAAACTTTGAAATCTACTGCCCTTTAGAAATTTTCATCAGAAACATTTTAAAAACTTATGTCCAAAAGAATATATATCTATATCCCTGTTTTCCTCTGAAAAAAATTGAAAAGCAATGCTTGGGTTTTACTTAAGCATTAAAATAGTAATATTTTTAATGACGAGAATTAAAAAGTATTTGTGAAATACTATTAGCTTTTCTATATGTAATAGTTATGCTTAAAACTGCGAAGATAATATCTACTTTTGATGACTGTCTTGTAAAATGCACAGGTCACAGTGTGTGTGGTTTCTGAGTTGGTTTTAAACCTATAAAATGTGTATTCAGAGCTCACTTAGCACAAAAAAAGAACATCTAAGTCATCTAGAGAAAGCAAGTAAACTGTGGATCAAAACGTCTTTTGGATGAAATTTGGCACCCACCACTGCAGATTTTACAGTCTCAATTTCTCTTTCACCAACTTCACTAACAAGAGGGTATTACAATTTTGCTGACACCAGTGACCTGGCATCTTTGAATTATTCCCCGCTTGGGTTTACAGAGGAATAAACTGGCAATTAATTATATATCAGAACATGAGAATCAACCTGGCAATAATGTACAGGCTAAGAACGCTCTATTTACATATGTAGGTTATTTAAAATATGTCTTGTTAAATAAATATTTAAAATACCTTCTTATTTAGTGTATAAACTGTTTGGACTGAGGCTGCAGTGTGACTCATCACAGAATTTTCAAAAGAACGGGAGAGTTGCCGTAGATTTTCATCTCTCCCTGACCTGCAAAATCTCCATCTCGGTGGATGGCAGGTCACACAGAAAATATCTCTAGCGAAAACAACAACACAAATAATTTACATTCGTGCTCGAATGTATAACAAGGAAGATTTTCTCTCAGAAAACCATAAAAATTATCTTTATCTTGAGAGCAGATTTGTGGAACAAGAAACCTAAGTGTAACTGATCCACAATGTACATGCCCACCACAGAGAGAGGAGTCCAAAGTGAACAGGAAGTAGGAGGAATAAATGATTTCACAACAAAATGTTCTTTCTCAGTGGGTCATGTCCTCCTTGAAAATATCCAGAATTATCTTGAAAGGAAAATAAAATAAAATACAGACTTTAAACATTTTCCATGCCTCTCAAATCAATGCACGGTCAACACAATCTTCTTACAGGAGGAAGCATGCTACCAGGACACCATGCGGGAAGCCAGACCCTGCAACTGGCAGAGGGAACACACTCAGAATTATCCAGAGGCCGACCTGGGTGTTCAGGATATCTTGGGTATCTAGAAGTCAGCTTTTTTCCTGGAGGCTCTGTCTTTATACCGGAAATCACAGGTCTCTATGGAGCACGCAGCTCTCTACCGAATGGATTTGCAAACATGGCAACGCTGCATCCACCAGGGGGCGCAGTCCACCAGCACAAGACGCATCTTCCCCAAAGGAAGTCGCTGAAGGTGCCTCTTCCTCTCACTACTGACAACGACCTGATTTTTATCAGGTCTCCAAGATGTGGCACTTGTATACCTGACACTGATTTCATACGGCCAACCTCACACTGGGGAGATATATGTTGTTCCCTCACCCACACATACCTTCATGAGCAGACTTTTCAGCAGGATGTGAAATCAGTCCTTGCAATTGATAGAAATTCCTTGTTTTATCATAGCACATAATTTAGTCTCTGCATCTATGCCAGAGTTCAGGTCAAAACAAATAGATTCATCCAACTATTCTATACATATTCTGGCTCATGGATCAAATTGGGGATATGAGGGGCTCCTTAGGTCTTTAAGCCAAGCATCTACCACAGCTTGCTGATACCCCTGCTTATTTCTAAGCAAACCTTTCCCCCTTCCTTCGACCAGAGCCTTGGGGCTGGGAAAGAAAACAGCTGTCACACAAGGGCTGGTGTTGGTGATAAGCCCTTTGTGTGCAAGCTCAAACTTCAAGACGAGCCTGTCCAAACAAAACAGCTGTGGGCTTCAGTGGCCCTATGTCCGGGCAGAGACCCCTCCAAAGCAGATGCTGAGGAAAGAAAAGGCAAACAGAAGGGTACACCAGTCCCTGCAACATTTTGCAAATGGTTTCACAATTTACTGAAGGAATTTTTCTGGAGACGCCAACTTTAATTTTGGTAGAGGTCAGTGCTCTGGGACCCTTATTCTAAGTGTCTTTCACATCACCTCAGCTCATTGATCTTCACGGAGTCCTTGCTGCTGAAGGTGGGGGGCCTGCTCTGAACTCCTCAGGAATGCAGAGCCCTCAGGCTTGTCTTGGACGTCCTAAATCAGTATTTAGGTGACTGGGAAGATTGTCAGGGATCCTTGTTTCTGAACAGGTCTGTCCCCACAGGAGACGCATAAGGTGCTTGAGGAGTCCTTCAAAAAGATGCAGAGTGGTCAAGATTGCTGCCTGGTCTTGGCATGTGTAGCCAACTCTTGAAGCAGCTGTGTGAAACTGGAGAGTTTTGTCTTTCACCAGAAAAAGACCTAGTTCCTGGCTCACCAGCTCTGAGCTGCCTTGTTTGTGCCTCACAGGTATTAACTTAATTGTAGAGATTAAATGGATGCCTGACACTTAGCAAATTCCAGTGACATTTCTTTCCCTCTAGAACTGAATTTGGAAAGCATGAAATTAATCATGGATGTGGTTATTAATATTTTTCTTCAATTTTACAATTATTCTTTTTTCTTTTAAATTTCATTATTTCTGAATAAGCCACATAAAAAGAAATCATGAATCTCCATGCATCTTCAAGTACTTTTCCTCTTTGTATGCCATGTCGAATGGCTTTGAAGTTGGTAAAAATGAAGAAGTTAATATAATTGAGATTTTTTAATACAATTCGAAGATTCATATTTAAAACTGTTTTTGAAATCTGACTAAGGGAGGGAAACTAATTCTAGAGCAAAAAAAAAAAAAAAGATATTATCCCATTAAAAATACCTAAGTTTGAGAGCATACAAGCTAAATGCCAGCAAACACATTTGTTAATATTGCCATCGGAATGCTGTAGTGGATGGCGTTAATGACAGGGGTTTATGTTGTAGTATGATATAGTCTGCATTTCTGTGAAAGGCAGGATTTAAGGAGGAGTATTCTATATTGCTCATTATATCTTTGGGTTTCATATAATTCTTTTGAGGGTGCTGTGGTGCTATATTCTGAATTTTGGCACAAAGTCATGGGAACGTCAAAATAAAACCAAATATCAACTGTAGGTCACCAAGTTAAACTTCGCTTCTGAAAAAAAATGAGTGAAGAAATACTTTAAATTTAATAAATTTAAATACTTTAAATATGGGGTTTATGTTCTGACAGGGAAGTGTGCTTTTTGTTTGGCTTTTGCATTGCTGAAATTTGAACGTAGGACCTCACACAAGCCAGGTAAATGCTTTTACCACTGAGCCATCTCTCCAGCCCCTAGAACAGGTTTAACCTCACAGGCAAGAGGAAAGACAGGTCTCATGCTAATGTCTGAGTCTTTCCAAGACCAAACCTAGACATCCAAATTCTTCACAAAACAGGGAAAATCATCATTCTGGACCTCTGTAAAATCTGGTATGAAAGTGAGAAAATGATAAATATCCCGCTGAATGTGATCAGTTTGGCAGAGAAGCTGAACTTGCAGAGAAAGAGTGATTCCTGAAGAGTTCTGACATCTTCTACGATCTTTGCTGTTCATCTAGATGGTTTCATCACACTGGTTGCTTTTTCCCTAAGCCTTTCTTTACAATTTCAAAAGACACGTCAACCTTCAAGGTGCAAACTGAAGAGCATGTACTGACTTGATAGGTCAGATCCACTTCAGAAGGACATATACATCCAATAAAGAATAAGCACCTTAGCTATTTAATTCCCAGCCTTACGCCAGTCTCATTGTTCAATTCTGTAGTCCAGATCATTTCATTATATTCCATGTGTATCCTAGCACATCACATTTTGTCTGTTTGAGCTTCCAGATGTTTCATGTCACATTCCTTGACTCCAATTTAGATTGTTTCTGTTGGAACACAGCAAGGGGAATGCTGACTTATGAGAATGTCTAATATGTTGGAGTTTCATCTTGAGTGCAAAAGAAGAACATGGGTGGGGGGAAGATAATTTTCTTTCTAATTCAGCCTAATTGTCAATGCCCAAAAGTGGAGAGGATTGGGTGTGGTAGGACTCACTCGACAGACCAATCAGAGCTGCTTTGCAGAGCCTGGAAATCAGCAGAGGTGAGACCCCCTATTAGCAGGAAGCTCTCGCTGGTTTAGGTCCAAGAAATCTGTGAGTTGAAGACTTTTTGTTTTTAAGAACATAGATCTTCCACTTCCTCTCAGGCTTCTTAATTTTTACAACCAGAATCAAGGAAGAAAAAGTTCTTTTCTCTCTTGTCAAACATTAAAACACAAGTTGAATAATTAGTATGAGTTATCACTGCTTTTGTTCCAAGCCATGTAGCCACATTCACAAATATCAAAGTACTTGGCAAGATGAAAACAGCCCCAGACATGTAGGAGTGAAGCATTGCCAACATCTATGAGAAACAATAAAATATCGTTCATTCTTTTATTCTTCCTTGGGAGCAAATTTTTTGGAGAGAAACCTTTACTGGAATGGAGGAAAAATATGAGCAGTTTGAATATAGTCCATAACAGTCTTTAATGGATGTCCTTTTTGTCTTTCTTAACGAAATCCAAACATTTTGAGGGCTTTGGGACTAAGCCCTTCTTTTATCTCCCATTCTTATAAGTGTTCTCAGTCTGAGCAGCAAAGGGATGAATCAGAAGATTCTCATTGTCAGTGTCAAGATGAAGATGTGGCTGGTGTTCACTCTGCTGTATCTTATCCCAGAATTATTTACAAGACGTCTGCAATTAAAACAAGGCAAAAAGGAGTTAGCAAATGAAGGCTCCTTGGGAAGATATACAACTCACATTCTTAGGAAGTTTATCATCAGAGCAGGATTTTCTGACACAGGGTAAGCATTTCCAGTGTCACTTTCACTCTGGAATGGTCACTAAATAATAGGCCCACAGGAAATATTCCTTAGGGAACTATTGCCCATAAGAGGTTGCTTCTAAAATCTTAAAGGGACGTATTCTAGATTTCAATGAGGTAACCGTGCAGTTGTTAACAAATACTTATTCTGCTGCCAAACCCCTTGAAGTTCAGTTGTAGTAGTGTATCTTTGTTTTAAACATGATTTTACTTTTTAAACACTTTTTGGCAAATATACCACTGAAGCACACCATCACAGGGTTTATCAGACTCAGCCCTCTTGATCGTTTGGCCAGACAATTTTTGGTTGTGGGAGGCCAGTCCTTTGCATAGTAGGATGTTGATCAGATTCCCTGGCTCCTTAACCACTGCACACCAGCAAAACTTTCCTCCTCCCCAGTTGTCACCCGTGCAGATGCTTGCATGCAGGGACAAATTACCCCTGGATAGGAGGGACGGTCTCTCCCAGTTAAGAACTGTCACACTGCTGCTTTGCTTGGCTGATGCTAAAACATTCCATGACAAAGTGTTATTTCCCTGCAAATCATTTAACCATTAGAGATACAATTAAAATATTTCATTTTTTCCTTTTTTCATTGCTGAGACTAGGTTTGTGATATGTCTTAGACAGAAAATGCTTTGTGTTTTATTGAAACTGGACAGCTCTTTGGAAACACAACCCACGTATTTCTAATGCAGTTTGCCACCTGGTCTTGGGCAGGTCCTATAGCTCCATACCCCTGGGTTATAACACCTGCCTAACAATTATACTACCTTATGAGAGTAAAAACAATTGATCAAGATCATAGGCTAAGTGTGCTGACATCTGAAGAAGCCATAGGAAGCAAAATAGTAATTTGAAGAGCGTATGGTGAGAAGTTGCATAAATATTAACTTGTAGGCTTCGTTCACAAAATCTATAATTGCACTTTTAAAAAGGATAAGCACACTACTTTGGTCACCACCCATAATAAGCTTGAAAACTAGAAATGTAGATAAGACCCAACTCAAGAAATACGTGCAATTCAAGATACATGTATTTATTTATTTACTTATCTATTTATTTGTATCAGGGATCAAACTCAGGACCTTGCCCTTGCCGGGCAGGTGCTTATAGCACTCAGCTAAATCCTCGACCGAATGTATTTTTCAAATCCATTACAAAAATTAGACTTTACCAATTTTAATAAAATAATCTTTGACAAACAAATATATATACGATCCAATGTGAAAGATAGTTTGAGAATGATTCTTCCCTGAAAGACAGAACAGAGGGTAAAACACGTCCATTTCTTGAGCTCAAATGTCTTCTGAGAAACAGCGAAATCAGGTCATAACAGTAAGGATGGAATAACAGATTGGTTTAAGAAAAATAATAGATGCTGATTCCAAGTGAGTCCTTAGGACAGGACTCGGTTCATTTGCCTGTGCCCGGCATTAGCTGAGTTCAGACCAGGGCTCGCTTGATGCTTAATGGGTGGTGTAGCAAGTAGGCCAGGAGTGGAACAGAACACCAACCTCATGTCTTTGTGTTTATTAAGCGGTGTCACATGACGGTCGCCTCCCTAAACGGTGTGCTCGGTGTGTCACAAGATACTTGATGTGTAAAAAAAGGTAACGCAGGCAGATTCAATCACTCCCACCAACAAAGACCTCTTTCTTCAGCCTTTTGAAAGGGTCTTTGGACACAGTTTCCTTGTGTAACAATCACTAAATCCTTTTCTCTCAGAATTGCGATATGTCCTTGCTCCTGGCTACCCTTTGACTAACGTCTCTTCTTACACTTGTAGTAGGTGACCTATTTTACAGGCCTTTTACCAGACATTGTCCCAGTTACTTCCAAAATTAATTCAAGCAGGAGCAATCTCATCATTTGGGAGTCAAAGTACTCTTTGCCAAATAGCAGAAGAGTTTGTACAGAGGTGTGCTCACTTAGGAAATGCTGGCAGCTCTGGGCAATTTTTTTTTTTTTTTTAACATTCTCTGGATTAGTCTTGTGTTCAAAGAAACTTTCATTTAAAAAAAAAAGAGCCGTGAAAAAACCAAAACCAAAACCAAAAACAAAACCAAAAACAAAACAAAACAAAAAAACTTCTGCATCCAACAAGCCTTGATCTCTGAAGCGACTTTGAGATTTTAGCAACCTCAATAAGGTAGGGACAATAGCGAGAGCTAATGTGAAGAGAACATCAAAACTTGTTGGAATTGTCTGACTTCCTTCAAGAGAAGGCATTTCTGGGCTGGTCACACTGTTGGTCTTGGCCAGTGTGAAGAAGGAAGCTAGTTGCTACCTGTAATTTCTTTATAAAGTCCACTTTTACCAATTAAAACACACTACTATAAATCAAACACAGGGTAGGGACACACGGATGCAATCCTAGTAGGCTGAGAACCCAAGTCAGGAGGACTTGCTAATTCAAGTTCAGCCCGGTCAACTCAGCACCTTAGGGAGACTTTGTCTCCCTAAATAAAATATAGGAAAAGGAGGGATGGGGTTAACGATGTGGCTGAATGCAGAGGCTCTGGGTTCAATTTCCACAACTGCAAAGTAAAACAGGAATACTAAAATAAAAAATAAATAAGTAAATATTTTCAAAGCAGAGAACTGGAGGCATTTGTTGCTCAGGTCCGTATGTGTTCTGATGGGCCATGGTTAGAGCTGATTAGCATTCCAAATAAAGTTTGAAAGCAAAACAGCTAATATTCTGCTTTGATCAGGGAGGGTAAAAACACCATTAATAAGAAGACTTTGGGTTCCTTTCGATAACAGTAGCAACAACACTGAATGTGTTTCCATCCCCGCTCTGTGGTTTTCTTTCTCACTGTGAGACAGAACCAGCTTATCAAGGAACACGCAGTCCTCTCCTGGACCGTGTTTGTAGTGGATCAAGGAAGAACTAGGTAATAACTCATGGTGAGACCAATCTGTCACTTCTGGATAAAGCAACCCAAGTGTAGTTCTAGCGCTAGATAAGTAGTCTATAAGATCGATTCTCCTGCCAACTATCATTGCAAACCAAGGAAAATGTTATTAATATACTCTTGAAGCTTTTCTTTTTCTAAGTGAATCATGGATGCATTGATTCCCATTCTCTTGCCCCAGAATGTTATTTTTTCTTTCCTTTTGAATTCATCTCCCTTGAAATTTGTAGTTAAAAGGAACTCATCTTGTTCCTTCCTAGATCTACTGCTGTTAGAAGTGAGTTGTGCTTAGAAGTGGACGTCCCTGGACATCAGAATTTTGAACTTCTGTTTCTGGGCTGGGAACTGTATCAGTCTTATCCTAAGTTAGTAAATGATTCAGGATTTGAGAATTTTATTTTTCTCTTTAAAGTAATCTCAGAACAATACTCAATCTTAAGGTCTTTGTCAACAGCTTACTCAAGCTGTCCTCACAGAAAACTCTTCTTTTTCTGCTTGGCCAGCCGCAGCCTTTGGATTTGGAAGTGCTTCTGTAGATCAGCCTTGGAATTCAATCTGGCCTCGAATTTCAGCTGACTTTATAACTCAAATATAATTGCTGATGCACTTTTAAAAAATTTCAGGAAATTCGATGCTTATTTTAGCTTATTAAAAAGTGGCAGTATTTTATGTTTGAAGAATGTGAACTTGACTTCTAGAAGAAAAAGTCCACATTCATCATCTGTAATCTGCGATTCTGTTAGCAGGTTGGGTCCACAGATAAAAGTTCATAAAGTGGTTTATTTTGGAGAAGCCAAAGTGCCAAACCACAGTATGTGCATGGTAGGAAAAAAATAGAAGCCAGAGTCTTTTCCAATCCAAGATTAAACACTGACTAATAAAATAGCCATCTTTGCTCATTCCTGGCTCCTATTTATATAGCTATAAGATACCATGATAGATTTCCCCCAACCATTCTTGGGGCCCAATGGGAAAAGGCTACCATGGGAACACAGCTCACCATCCCTGGGAATTCATATCCTGACTTCTGGAATCATCTTTATTGTTCAGGGGTTGGGATTTTAAGGTTGGCAACTAGAGTATGGAAGTCACCTACTGTCTGTCTATCACAACTCTGTCTCCCATCTGGCTCTACTGGGGTGACTGTCCTAGAGCCCACTCTGTATGCACCTTTGTTTGAAGGATGAAGACCAGACCCCTAAGGGCAGAATTCAAGAACCCCCAGGATTCAGTTTCCCTTCAAGGAAATCTCTGCCTTGGTCATTTTGAGGGATTTAACTTGCCCTGATGGGCACTTTTCTGTCATATCTGCAAGGTTTCTCCTCCTTTAAGTTCCTTATCCCTTTTCAACTTGATCTATAGGGATGTTTATTTTTTAACTTCAAGGGAATTTTTCAATTTATAGGGGTAGAGAAAGTGACTGTCCCCTCCTGAGACCCCTTTTCGCCTATTTCATGTACACTTATTGGTTGTCTATCAGTGTTTGCACATCCACTTCCAGGAGACGAGTGATCTCCTTCATGAAAAATGTGAATCCTATTCTTTTGGTCCTATCTCCATATTTTGCAATAAAGATAGAGAAAGGGAGGAAAGGACGGCAAAAGAGAGCCTCAGGTATGTTGCACGGGCTACATTCAGAAGAAATGGGTGCATATAGGACATCTCAACTCTGCCCTCCCAGGCCTCTGTACCTGGCAGATTGTATCTGCTGCCCCCAGCCCCACCTCCCTGGCTTCTTCATGTCACCCAGCCTCTGTTTAAGCTGTGTGCATGCATCCCTTTCCCTCTTCATGGCCAAGGCCTTGTCCAGTCCTCTCCTGACCCATCCCACTGAGGATTACTCTACTTCCTGCAGTTTCTGCCTGGGCTAGAACCACAAGAAAGCCCAGCGATTACTCAAGAGCTTCCTCCATGATCTTCTTGCCTCCTGATTGTGGGTGCATGTGAT